CATTGAGCATCCAGCCACTTCCACACCTGGGTTTAGGTATATTAAGTTATCACCCTTTCGTTTTTTTTTGCTAAACTGCTTTTTTTCACATTAAGTGCACGGCGTTTATTTTGAATTTTAAGTTCGTGTTTTTGATTTCACCATATCTCTTGGTTCACTGCTTTTTCTGTCGGTTGTTTTAAGGTTAATTTTATAACACCACATTGTTTTATTCAGCATTTATTTTTGATTCTTTTATTCAACTACTACTTTATCATACTTTAATTCACACACTACATTCACTTTGAACATTAATGCTCTTATGTTAAACAATGACAGTAAATTTTTCGTTTCTTAGTGAATTTTATTTTTTTTTTGTTCATTTACGCACTTTTTTTAGTTGATAACGTTGAATTTTGCATATGAAATTATATACATCTAGAATTGTCGACTTCATTTGTATGTTCTTGTATAAGCAGTTACACGCACAAACGATTTTAAGTTGATTCCGCGACGGTTAAAAATGCTAAACTGAAAGGGAGAGTAAATAAGTACGCACAGGTACCCACTTCAGTAATCCACGATACCACCTGTTCCTTTTAATTTGCTCTCCTTTCCAGTACATATATGTTTGTTTTTTTTCTCCCCCTCACATTCCAGGTAGTCTGCATGCTGGCGCTAGCATCGTTGGACATATATACATACATACACACACTGGTAAGTGAGAAATCACTATTTTGCTATTATTCACATAAACATACATATAGACATTAGGAAAAGGTCGTCAACAAAAAAAAGTTATTCTTTTGGAACGTGCGTTTGTGCGTATGTGCACATATATTACATATATGCGACGGGGAATGTACATACAAAAATACATTTGCTAGACATATATGTAAATGCACATGTAGATAAAAATAAATTAAATTAGGAAATAGGCTTGAAAAAAAAACTAAAAAAAAAAAAGAGAAGACAAGAATAATAGAAGTAACAAGTAAGAAAGTCTAAGTTCGGGCGGAGCCGAACATTAAATACCCGGCGCAAGTATTAAATATATGTTTTTCCACCTTTCCGAAAGCTACCGCTAGATGGTAAGACGGGGTGTATCAATTTTGAGTAAATTAGCGTCCATAAATTTCGAAATATTCCAGTTTCAAGCATTTCTGAAATTTGCCGTTATATGAAAAGCGGCCGTAATTTTAGTCCGATTTCAATAATTTTCAACGTTTTGCTTTTATGTGGCAAGGACAATAAAAATACCGAGTTTGGTACAAATCGTATAACGGTTACCGATATACATATATGTGATCATAAGTGGGCGGTGCCACGCCCATTTTCCAAAATTTTTCCATAAGCGTATTTCTTGGTAAAGAATTGTTGCAAGCATCAATTTTGTATAAATTAGCTTTAATATTTTCTGATTTATCGAAGATTTTATATTTATCTAAATTACCGTTATATGGGATGTGGGCGTGGTTATTGTCCGATTTTTTAAATTTTCGGCCATTTAGTATGCTGTACCCAGGCCAACAACTGCGCCAAGTTTGGAAGAAATTGGTGCTGCGGTTACCAAGATATGCACATGTAACCATAAGTGGGCGTGGCTACGCCCCTTTTCTAAAAATTTATAATATTCTTATTTTTCGTCTGAAATTTATTGTAAATACTAATTTTGAGTGAATTATCTTCAGTAGTTACTAAAATATCGCAGTTTCCGTATTTCTGAAAACTACCGTTATATGGGATGTGGGCGGGGTTATTGTCCGATTTTTGGAAGAAATTGGTACAGCGGTTACCAAGATATACACATGTTACCATAAGTGGGCGTGGCTATGCCCATTTTCCAAAAATTTATAATATTCTTATTTTTCGTCTGAAAATTGTTGTAAATTTCAATTTCCAGTGAATTATCTTCAGTAGTTACTAAAATAACGCAGTTTTCGTGTTTCTGGAAATTACCGTTATATGGGAAGTGGGCGTGGTTACTGTCCGATTTCGCCCATTTTCAACAGCAACCTACCTTGGATTAACGGAAACCTACATACCAAATTTCGTTAAGATATTTTTGCTCGAGTTATCGTGTACACGGACGAACGGACAGACGGACAGACGGACGGACAGACAGACATGGCTTAATCGACTTCTCTATTCATTCTGAGCATTTATGTATACATTTGTCTATATCTATCTCGATTCGTTTTGGGTGTTACAAACAACCGTTATGTGAACAAAATTAATATACCCTTGTGCACAAGTGCGCTCGGGTATAAATATTTATAGTTAAATCTAAAACTAATCTAATTTATAGTTAAGTTTAAAACTTTGTGCACAGTTCAGAAAAATTTAACAAAAAACAAAAACGTTTTTGTTATTTTATGGCCTTATAACAATTATATTCAACAATTTTTAATGAGCTTGAGGCCGTTTTTAATGAAAAACTTATTGTGGAAAGCAACAATAATGTGAAAACCGACGATCCCACTGACTCAGCCAGTTGCCTATGCACTATGCTAAGTTCGCCTTGTACATTATCGTTGCTTTTTTCCCACTTTTTCATTTTGTTGTGCCAACACAATCAAGCGCAGCTATTCCGCTGCAATTCACTTGATCATGTGGTTGTTGGTTTTTGCTAATAGTTCTATTTTTAGAATGTTTAGCTTTTAGGTGTCTATTTTTAGAATGTTTAACTTTGTGTGTTGGCATAACAAAATGAAAAAGTGGGAAAAAGCAACGATAATATACAAGGCGAACTTAGCACAGTGCATAGGCAACTGGCTGAGTCGGTGGGATCGTCGGTTTTCACATTGTTATTGGCATCAAGCTCATTAAAATTTGTTGTATATAATTGTTATAAGGCCATAAAATAACAAAAACAAATAACTTAAGGACGAGCACACCCAAAAATTTAAACATTCTAAAAATAGAATTATTAGCAAAAACCAACAAAACCAACAACCACATGATCAAATGAATTGCAGCGGAATAGCTGCGCTTGATTGTGTTGGCATAACAAAATGAAAAAGTGGGAAAAAGGCAACGATAATGTACAAGGCGAACTTAGCACAGTGCATAGGCAACTGGCTGAGTCAGTGGGATCGTCGGTTTTCACATTGTTGTTGCTTTCCACAATAAGTTTTTCATTAAAAACGGCCTCAAGCTCATTAAAAATTGTTAAAAAAACAAAAAATTTATCAAAATTTTCAACTTTTTTCAGAACTTTAGAAACTTACTGGGTATGCAGTCTTATTGCCTATTCAAATTTAGGACAATAATGTGCAGGTTTGAAAATCTGAAAAATCCCGTTGAATTTTGAGAATTTTTTTGTCGGGAGTTACGCATTTTCTTCCATACAACGCATGAAAAAATATATTTTTATACGGAAGAAAATGCGCAACACCCGACAAAAAAATTCTCAAAATTCAACCGGATTTTTCAGATTCTCAAACCTGCACATTATTGTCCTAAAATTGAATAAGCAACAAAACTGCATACCCAGTAAATTTCTAAGGTTCTGGAAGAAAGTTGAAAATTTTGATAAAATGTTTGTTTTTTGTTAAATTTTTTTGAACTGTGCACTAAGTTTTAAACTTTGACTTATATCGAGCCCTAACCGCCAAAATAACGAAAGCGCCATTTTTTTCAACATATTATTTTTGATGCAGAAATACATTTTAGATGCCCTAGGAATATTTCTGCATCAAAAATAAAATTTTGAAAAAAATGTCGCTTACGTTATTTTGGCGGTTAGGGCTCGATATGATTTATGTTATGGAATCTACTTTATTTTTATATAAAATTCCCAAAAAAAAATGTATCAAGTAAAACATTGTGAATATGGTAAAAAATAAAATTGTGCTATTTACGTGAGCAAAACTGAATATCGATGGCTTATAGTCAATACCTTCTATTTGAAATTTTTACAAAAATGATATTCTGTTATAAAAATACTGACCTTGTATATCGCTTGTCAGATGAATTTACAATTGAATTGCAAAGTTAAATTAATTCGGATATGAGAGTTAAGTCCCAGATCAGCTTTGAAATCAGAAACTTCTTCTTGTGAAAAATGCTGATAGAGGGTATTGAATATAAGCTCTCGCTATACATACATACATACATATACAGCCGCTGTGGCCGAGGATAAACTAATTTTTTTAAAAGTCTAGCTCATGATATCACAAGCAGCACATAAGCCCACATTTCAGACTGTATACACAAAATGGTCAAAATGTCACTAACTTAAATGATTGAATACATATGAATATTGTAATTGCGTTTATTTAACTTATATACTTATGTTTTTTAATGGATTAATACATTTTTGCTTGAGTTTTCATTTTCCTTTTTATTTTAAAAAATCATTAAAAAGTTTTCCTTTAATTGATAATAACATTAGTTTACAAGAAATCTGACCTGTGGCATTTTACCATCTTTTTTTATGTAAAATTTGTCCCTGAATACAAATATGCAGTCAGAGATTTAGAAAGTAAATCCGTTCACAAGGTATATACAAATTTCGGCTTTTTGAGAACTGAAACAAGTTAACTCACTGAATTTAAATTTATTTTTATACTAGTGAAGCTTGTTAAATTTGCTATCTATGCTAACATGCATATGCAATAAATCAACAATGTTGAAATAAATGGGCACGTTCAGAAGGCGCAACAGCTCAGTAACTGTTGCGATTTTACCTTCTGAATGCGTTGTTGTGTACTTCTGATCAACTCAACAGTTGCGTGTTAGATGCTCGTAATATTTTTCTGATCATTTGAGACAACATGTTGCTGTGTACCTTTGAGAGTTGAATTTGACAGTTAATGCATCAAGCCGTTCAGAAGACGCATAACGATCACTGATTTTTTTAGAAACGGTTGCGCTCAACTGCTGCGTCTTCTGAACCTACCCAATGATAGCAAATGTAAAAGCTTTACTAGTATAAAAGTATATAAGTGAGTGAACTTTTTTCAGTTCTCAAAAAACCGAAATTTATATACATATACCTTGAAAACGGATTTGCTTTCTAAATCCCTGACTGCATATTTGGATTGAGGGGAAAATTTAACATAAGAAATGAGCAGAATAGAGGTTATACCTTCTTTAAAAGCTTATGATCTAGTGTGATTAATGTTAATATACGATTAAGCAAAAATAGCGTGTGATATTTACATTTTTAATAAAGTATGTACTTATAAATATTGGATTCTAAGCTTTAATTTTTTGAACTCTTAGAAGTGTAATCATACAAATTTTAGGAAAAGAAGTTTGTCATCAATCTTTCTTGTACACGTTTTGCAGTGGAACATGATGCATTTGGGCTTTCGAAAATTCTGTCCGAATTCTCAAAATCTGTTGAAAAATTTTCAATAGGATCGCTAATTGACCGCTCACTCAAACGAATGTTGTGAAGGGCTGCACACGCGTTAACGACTTTACCAGCGAAAGCGGGGTCATATAACAGAATCCTTTGTTGTGATAAGCATCGCCAAGTTCCTTTTAGGACGCCAAAGAGTCTCTCAATCGGGTTCCGTGCCTTGCAGAGCGCTTCATTGTGCCGAAATTTTGGTGACCCTTCTGGCTGGTTGGGTAAAGGAGTCATGAGCCGTGGCTCTAATGGGTATCCAGAACACCCTTAAAGAAACTTCTTTTAGTATTATATTTTAAATAATTTATAAATTAACAAAAATAAATACCAATTAAAAATATATTGCGGTTTCCATTTTCAAAAGCTCGCTGCATGACTTGTCGCACAGCGGAAGAGCTCCAAATATAGGAGTTATGTCGGGCTCCCGGATACCTGGCATTCACGTTAAGGATTTTAAGATTTGGGTCACATATCTATAGAGAGTTAAGGATTTTAAGATTTGGGTCACATATCTATAGCAAATACAATAAACAACTAACACTATACTACATTTCAAATGCTTTGCTTACCATTTGCACATTTATGGATTGATATCCATGATGATTGACGTATGCTTCCTCATTATCTTTAGGACCCAAAATGGATATGTGGGTGCAGTCGATCGCCCCGATGGTTCCTCCGACGAAAGGCGCAGGAGCTAAGGAAAACGCTTCCTTGGCAGCTTGACTTTCTATTTGGGTCATGGGGAACTTCACTTCCGACAAGAAAAAGCGGCTATTGATGGGTTCGGTTACCTTGTGTATGCAGCGGCTGGTAGATTACTGAGTTAGTGAAATTCCCAATTGTTCCCCTACAGGCCGTTGATAACATCCCGTGGCGTAGAATCGCAAAGCGCAAAGAACCTTTCAAAACAAAAGTAAATTTATTGACACATGTAAAACTTTATTAAAAGTAAATATTTAATGCTTTACCTGTTTTTCAGCCGATATCGCTTTAACCCTCTAACCGGTAAGAGTGCCTCAGGGCAAGGATCACAAAAATCACCTTTTGCATATGAAGATGTAATTTTTCATTACGCAAATGAGTTCAACGCATTTCTTTCTCAAATTAGAATGTAATCCGACGGGCCGTTTGTCCTTGTAATCCCGTTTTTGGGAACAGGTGGAGGAGAAGGTCGTGTTTTCGTATTAAAAAATCTCTGATTTTCAGCATCGAAAATTTTTATTTTGGAGACGTTATTTTAACTCAAGAATTTTATTCCCTTAAAGTCTTAGTCATAAGCTTCACGTTTTTATATCTACGGTGTTGAAAATAGTTGGATTTTATGTTCTATAGCAAAAAATCTAAGTGTGCCTCAAGGCAGGCATGACAAGAATATTCGGCGCGAATTTTTTTACGCGTCGCATTTTTCTATTGCGTTTTAGTTATGGTTCTTTTTACTGGTAAGGCAAATACTTTTTATAAATTTTTCACCTGTTTTTCATAAAGTGTCTAACAATATATGCAAATCGTTCCATGATGTCGCGTGAGAAATTGTCGAAGTTATCAGCCGAAGAATTTCTTGAATTTATGGATTCTGTGGAGACTAGTATTATAGCCGAAGCTACCGGTCCAGCAGTTGTACCAACCAATGGTGGTTTGATTAGAAGTAAGAGTTTCTCTCACATCTTTGGAAAATTGATTTTACGTACTGATCGTACGGATATTTTATTGCAGACATTGAATCAATAAACAGAGATTCTGCTGAACTCAGCAAAGTCATCTGGCGAAAAACAAACCTTAAACTTCATATAAATGAGGTGGCATTTCGTGGCTTACCTGAGCACACAAAAGCGCTCTCAAGACCGGCTCAGTTATTTCTATATTTTTTCCCTAAAGTAATAATTGAAATGATTGTTTAAGAGACGAACCGGTATGCTCTAACTTAATCAGGATATAAACTTGAGATTCAATGTGAATGCCGATGATATTTGCCAGTTCATCGGCATTTATTTATACATGTCGGTTTATCGCTCCCCGAATTTAGAGAGCTAGTTAATGAAGAATGCATTCGAACACATTCGCATTTCGCCATTGAAACGGTTTGAAGTCATAAAAAGATTCCCGTCGTTCCGAGATGGGGATGGACGCAATGATCGCCGTTTTTATCATTTCATTGATACCTGAATTCCGAGAACAGATCGCTGCTGGTCTTGTGAGCTACACTCAAACGCGTTCGGTTGGTGGCCCATCTTCAACAAGTCAACCTTCTACACCACAAGATGAATTGCAACCTGCTGCTCTGAGTGTTGGCAGAAAATCTGTATATCATGTTGATGACGTTCGTTTCAATGGTAACAATCAACTTCCTAAATGGCTCGAGAAAGTGGCAAAAAATGGTGAAAATTTTGTAAAAAGTCGCAAACTCAATGTATTTGCGAAGTATGCAATTTATATTTATTTGATCTGCGGCAAAAAATTGCTTTTTGGAATAGCACTCAAAAAAGTAACACATTTTTCTAGATTCCATTGCACTGCTAAACTTTTTGGAATAAAACCGTTGGTACTTAATAAAATTCCTATCTGTTCACATTTTTTGCTTTAACCGATATGAGTGCCTGGAGGCACTGTTTCGTTTATCTCACCTGGAAGTCAAACGAAGCGACAAAATGGCATATAGATGACGACATTGAGTTTATCATGCCCAAGTTATGCCAGAAAAAAATTCCCAACCATTTTTGATCACTATTTCAAAGTTGCCGGTTTGAGGGTTAATTCTTGAACCTTTTAAAAGGTTTCCAGCCATTCAACCACGTCCGCCACCATGCCTGGACGCACACGGTAAAGCTACCGGAACTCTGAAGGTGGGAGATCTAGGGGATTATCAATATCCCGCAGAAAACGCAAGTTAGTGTAACAGAAAATACACTACTGTACCGATCACATCATCCAATGTATGATACAGAATCAGTAGTTTACATAAAAGATTCCTATTGAACATTATAAGCAACCAAAACATTCCTATTGAAGATTATCAGCAGCCAAAACATTGTCAGCAAATAAAAGATTGAACATTATTTGCAACCAAAACATTCCTATTGAAGATTATCAGCAACCAAAACATTCCTATTGAAGATTATCAGCAACCAATAAACAAAAGAAACCAGAGCCTATAAATAGAGGATTAAGCATAGAAATAGGTTGGTCTTCTATTATACTGAAGCATATGAACTTCAGGTTAGAATTGATTTAAGTACATCTTGGTACCAATAAAATTATATTTATTTATGTACATCGAGAGTATGAATTTAACTGGGGGCTCAATAAGTGAATAATAAAAGGAACTCCTAAAAAATCAAATTCCACACGTCCTGAAAAAGAGGACAAGGAGAACCAAAAATTAAACTGGACCGCTTCCGAAAAAAGGGATTACAAGTGTTTGATCAAGACAGAGGAATCATTATGGAAGCAAGGGTAGTAACCTTGGAACAAGCTTATGCCGCTGTAGAAGCACAATTAGCCCAGCTGCAGCAAGCGCAAGTACCTGAAATCGAAGAATTCCAACCGATAAGTCCCAGGATAAACAATGCAAATGAAATAAATTTGAGACTATTCGAACGGCTACCAGTGTTCAACGGAGACACATCCAAATACAGGACATGGAGGGCAACCATCATATCAGCAATGAGTCCCATAGAAGCCTTTCGAGATACCAAACCATATTACGATGCATTATTTATAATACGTCACACGAAGATCGAAGGAGAACCAGCAACTCTTCTACAGAATCATGGCACAGTATTTCACTTACAAGCAATACTCAATCGCCTAGATTACAGCTACGCCGATACTAGAAGCTATAACGCCCTCATAGAGAAAATGAAAAGACAAATACAAGGAAGACAGACGCTATCCGAATTCCACAGCAAGATCTGTCAAATCTTTAATTTAGCAATGACTAAATGCGAAATTGATTACCCAGGGAATACTCACTCTCTACAGCAGGTCACAAAAGAAATGGCCATAGATTGCTTCCGCAATGGCATAAATGATGAATTTACTCAACACACATTATATGCAGCAAAACCAAGAGATTTAGAAAGTGCATACGCAATTGCCACGGAGATTCGTTATAAAAGCCAGAACAATCCGATACGACGAGAAGCTTATAACTACCCCAAACACCCACAAAACGAACGGAAGTATCAACCAGGAGTTCAACCTATTCCCCACATGGAAAGATCAAACCCGACACCAATGGACGTGGATACATCAATAGGACGATTCCGGCATCCCACGAATAATCAGCATCAACAACAGCAATCGTATCAACAGAATCCCTTCAGAAACAACTATGAACGACAAAGAGCAGGATACGCACCTTTCAATCCCAATAGAGGAGAACCATTTAAACGAAACCACCAACCAACGTCATCCAGATATAATATAGCACCACAAAAACTACAAAGGATCAACCAAATAACGGATAATAATAGTGATCAGTCATTAAGGGTAAATATAGATGAAAGCGAATTTGAAAATAGAGCTAATTTTTTAGACGAGTAAATAATCTGCCGTGTCTTCAGATTATTTTACATGATAACAAAAAACTATTAGTTTTAATAGACACAGGTTCGACATTAAATTATATTAGGAAAAATATTCCAAATGGAAAGACCTTCCCAGTTAAACAATTTGTTAGTAGAACTCTGAATGGTTCAAACACAATAAACTCAGCCAAGAAGATTAAAATGCTAGGACAAGAATTAATATTTTTTGAAATCGAAGAATTCAAAGAATTTGATATGATATTAGGAGAACAATCCTTGAGAGAAATGAAAGCTAAGATAGATCTGTTCGAATATAAAATGATGTATGTCAGGAGAACAGAACAGAAGAAAAAAGAAATGGATGTCAGTCAAGTAAATTTCACAATAGATGAGAGCAAATATAAAAAAGAATTTGAAGAAATTATGAGAATTAATGAGGAAACAAATCCTATTTTACCATTTACTGAAGAGCCAATATGGACGAAACAGTACCCTTACCCCTTTTCAGACAATAATTTTATAAATAAAGAAATAAATAAAATGCTAGAGAATAATATAATTAAACCCAGTAAAAGTCCCTATAACTCACCCGTATGGACAGTACCAAAGAAAGGAACTGAGGAGTTAGGAAACCCTAAGAGAAGAATGGTCATAGACTTCCAGAAATTGAATAGCGAAACCATTACCGATAGATATCCCATACCCGATGTCAACATGACAATACAGAATTTAGGTAAAGCAACTGTTTTACAACCCTAGATTTGGAAGCAGGTTTCCATCAGATAAAAATCAAGGAGTCAGACACCGAAAAGACAGCCTTTAGCATAAGCGGAGCAAAATATGAATTCTTAAGGCTGCCGTTTGGACTAAAGAACGCACCTTCAATATTTCAAAGATGCGTAGATGACATATTAAGGAATTACATAGGAAAATTTGTGCGTGTATATATAGACGATGTGTTAATATATTCATCCTCACACGATGAACATATGGAACACATAAGAATTGTTATAAATGCACTGCGTCAAGCAAATATGAAGATTTCATACGAAAAATCTAGTTTTTTCAAGGACAGCACTGAATATTTGGGACATATTATTAAACATAACAGAATAACCGTAGACCCACAAAAAACTGAGACCATAAAATATTACCCGGTGCCTATGAATTTGAAAGAATTAAGATCATTTTTAGGACTAGCAGGATATTATAGAAAATTCATCAAAGACTACGCCAAGATTACTAAACCCCTAACATTGTTTTTAAGAGGAAAAAATGGTCTCGTAAAGAAAAATCAAAGTGAAAGAATGCAAATAAAATTAGATGAGGAAGCCATAAAAGCGATGAATATATTAAAAAAGGAATTACAAGCACAAGTCGAACTCTTTCAACCCGATTTCAATAAACCCTTTGACTTAACCACGGACGCAAGTAATTTTGCCATAGGAGCTGTGTTATCCCAAGGTAGAAATCCCATTTGTTTTATATCCAGAACACTAAGCGAGACGGAACAAAAATATAGCACGAACGAAAAAGAGTTATTAGCCATAATTTGGGCACTACAAAAACTCAGGAACTATTTATATGGACGATCAGACCTTACAATCTACACGGATCATCAGTCCTTAACCTACTCTATTTCAGGGAAGAACCCTAATAATAAACTAAAAAGGTGGAAAAACCAAATAGAAGAATACGGTGCCAAATTGGTATACAAACCAGGTTCTCAAAACATAGTTGCAGACGCACTAAGTCGGCAACAAATTAATCAATTAACCGACTCAGAATCGCAGCACTCTCAACTCAGCTCACCCACTGAAACCATAAGAAGGGTAGGCACTAGCTTAAACCATTTTAATAATCAAATAATTATCCAAACTAACAATGGATTAGTAAGAATAGAAAGTAAAAATATATTCGGAAAATTTAGACATACCATATACTTCACCCCTATAGAACAATTGATAACAGAAGAAATTCTATATCAAATAAAAGCCACACTAGTACAAACTTTCCCAACAACTAATTTTGTAATAGCAAATGCATTAGTCAGAGACATCACTGACGAAAATGAACAGAATGAAATAGTTGAACAAATACACAGAAGAGCACATACAAATTATAGAAATAAGATAAAAGAACTCTCTGAGAGCTATTACTGGCCTAACATGCAAGATATGGCAAAGAAGGCAGCACAAATATGTGAGATATGTAAAAAATGTAAATACGACAGACGACCGAATAAATTACTTTACGGAAAAACCCCAATACCAAATGAAGTAGGTACACATTTACACATGGATAAATTTTTTATGGACAACCAAATATATATAACTACAGTAGACAGATACTCAAAATTCTGCTATATAAGAAAAATACCAGATAGGAAAAACACATTTATATATTTGAATGAAATACTATCACAAATATTCCCATACGCAACGAACCTAACAACCGATAACGACCCGACATACGTTAATGTAGTAGCAAAATCTGTATACGATCGACTACATATACAGCACACAGCAGTGCCACCACTACATTCGACAACGAACGGTCAAGTAGAGCGGACGCACAGCACAATAGTGGAGCTAACTAACTTACTAGTAAAGGAAACCAAAGGCAAACACGAAGAGGTAATATTCGAAGCAGTACGACAGTACAATAAAACCATTCACTCGGTCATAGGACATAAACCCGAGGACGTGTTTTTCAACAGAGGAGGATACGACTATAAAGTCATCAGAAATAGAATTCAACATAATCAAGAAAGAGATATCACCCAACAGAAGGCACCGAACAAACAAACTACTTACAAGAAAGGAGATATTATTTACGTTAAGAGAAGCCGAAGAAATAAAAAACACGATAGATTCATGAAAAAAATAATTGAACAGGATAACGGTAGAACAGTCACAACAACTGATAATAGAATAATACACAAAGATAACATCCGTACGAACTAGAAATGATACTCATAATAATAATAATCTTGCTGTGCATAAACAGAATTAGTTCAGACACAAATATTACAAACCTGAAAGAAAAGATTATATATTAATTGAAACGAATCCAGCTTTTATATTTGATAGCTACGATTATTTATATCATATTACAAATTTAACTAGAATATTAACACCATACCAAAATATATTAAACTCAAAATATAATTTAGATTCAAATCCTGAAATGAAAATATTACACCAAAAAATTGAAATATTAATGAAACAGATAAATCCAGTTAATAGATTTAGAAGAGGATTAAACGCATTAGGGACAATATTAAAATGGATAACGGGCACACCAGACCACGATGATGAAGTAGAGATACAGATAAGAATCAATCAATTAATTGAGGGACATAATAAACAAAAAATAATAAATAGTAATTTCGAAAAAATGTTAAAGAAATTAAACCCCAAGGATTTCTCTGAAAAATTAATACTCACAGAAGTCTACAATGAACTAAATACTCTCCTAACTACAATTAATTTAGCAAAAAATAACAACTTCCTGTCAACTTCATTAGACTTAGAAGAAATCACAGAAATCATTGCGAAAGAAAAAACAAATGTTTTAACCATAAATATTTTAGAATATGCAGAAATTAAAATTGTTAAATTCAAACAAAACTTTGTAACAGTTTACAAATACCCAAAAATCAAAGAAAAATGTGAACAATTCTACATCCACTCATTAGCGTGGATGTGACCACTGGGTTTCTCATTATCTTGCGACCAAGCTGCCAACCGACACGCATACCGCATGGGAGCGACATCTTGGAAGTAAAACCGATATACCAACATTCGGTGAGCTGGAAGCGTTTTTAAATACTCGTATTTTAGAAATCGATGCAATCGAAAATCGCAGCATGACCTTTACTGCTTCATCTGCAGTTAAATCTCCAAAGGATACAAAACATCAAACCCCTTTCAATTATAACAACTCAAAACCCATTCAGAGATCGATGGTTAATGCTAAAAGTTTTCACGCTGCTCCAAACGTCAACACAGCTCAAGTTGAATCATGCGCTTTATGTGGTCAAGCACATATTATACGCCGCTGTCCAACCTTTCTCTCAAAAGATTGCTATGAGAGGAAGGCAATCGTTGATAAGGCAAAGCTGTGTCTCAATTGCTTAAGTAAGGCTCATGCACTTTCTAAGTGCACTAGCATCAAAAATTGCCTCCAGTGTGGCCAACGTCACCACACTTTACTGCATTTTCCATTCGCTACAAAGACTACTCCTGCAAATAACGCTCTTCCGCCATCAACTCCACGCGTTTTATCCAATTTCAGCAACGTTTCAGCACCTCCACAAGAACAATCAGTTCCAATTTCTTCAAACACACCTTCTCTTTCGACAGCAGTTTTAGAGGCAAGGCGCTTCACTCGCGCTCATTCTACGCTAGCGGCAAATCCAACACAATTGGGTGTCGATAGGATCCCCGTACAAGGGCCGAGACACATACTTCTTGCCACGGCGTCAGTAGGGCTGTGCAACGAAATCACGAATCGATCGGCGATAGTACACGCTTTGATCGATCAAGGATCCGAAGGAACGCTTATTACAGAAAATGCTGTTCAGCAATTAGGCCTGCAGCGTCATCCTACAGCTGCAGATATATGCGGAGTAGGCCCAAACCTATTTAGCCAATCACGATCATTGGTTAGCTGCACTCTTCGTTCATGCTTCGCCGCTCATATTGAGTCTGCTTATGTTCTGAAGCAACTCACAGCACCACTGCCCAGCCAGGAAATTGTGCCACAAGATATGGCACATCTACGAGGACTCGCTCTCGCCGATCCCAAATACTACCAGCCGAAAAGAATTGACCTCATTATCGGCGCAGACATGATCGCCCAAATATTGGAGCCGGAAACCCGCATTGGCCATGTTAACCAACCTATTGCCCAAAAAACTCATTTGGGATGGATCCTGTCGGGACGAATAAATTCTGACACGCCTTCTACTGTCACTATTCGCTGCCACCACAGCAACCTTGAGCTTGAAGGGCTTGTGCGAAAATTCTTTGAGAACGAGCATGTGCCCACTTCTGTACCAATGTCCGCTCAAGACCAGTGGTGCGAAGATTTTTTCCATAGCACTTATACTCGACAAGCAAATGGTAAATATCTGGTTCGTTTGCCTCTGAAGTCATTATATGATCCTAACCAAACTATAGGCAAGTCGAAACAAATTGCACTGAACAGATTTCATGAGCTAGAACGTCGACTCCAGCGTAATGCCGATCTCCGTGAGCAATATGAGGATGGAATTGAGGACTATTTTCGCCTGAACCAAATTCGCCCAGCTAGGACAATGGAGGAACTGCACTGCTCAACTACCAAATGTAACCAGCTAACCGTAACATCCTGTGTACTGCCGCATCACGCTGTGGTGAAAGAAACGAGTGTCACTACCAAACTACGAATTGTCTACGATGCGTCCTCGAAAACGTCAAATGGACGTTCATTGAATGATTTACTATGCATTGGCCCACCATTACAAAACGACCTTTCGGCTGTCATCCTGAAGTGGCGACTGCATAGATACGTCTTCTTGGCCGATATACAAAAAATGTATCGATGTATCGACATGAACCTAGAGGATTCAAATTATCAACGCATATTGTGGCGCAACAAAGATGGACATGTTTACGAATAGTGCCTCACGACGGAGACCTTTGGAACAGCGTCCGCGCCGTACACTGCAATTAGAGTTCTTCATCAGCTCGCGCACGATGAAAAACACCGATTCCCCCTCGCTGAGAATATTTTGCTTCACGAGATGTACGTTGACGATGTACTAAGCGGAAGTGATTCAATTGCTAATGCAACACTGTTGCGTGATCAACTGATAGCGGCGTTAAAGTCAGCTGGCATGGAACTCAGAAAATGGTCCAGTAACACTCCTGAATTTTTGCACCCTATTCCATACGAGCATCAATCGTATGATCCAGCACAACAACTCAACACTAACGAGACGATCAAAATGCTTAGCCTGCATTGGCAGCCGAATCTCGACTCTTTCACTTTCTCAGTCAAATTTGCTATCAACTCCAGCGTAACAAAATGATCGGTTCTGTCAACCATTGCCCGTTTGTTCGATCCCCTCGGATTTCTTACCCCGATTACTGTAGCAGCGAAGGTAATCCTAAAGGAGATTTGGGCAACGAAAATTAAACGTGATGATGATCATTATGTAGCTCTAGGTTCGGATGAAGAATTGCCTCCGACTATCAATGCGAACTGGCAAAGGTTTGTTACTGAATTGCCACAGGTAAAGGCGATCTCTGTTCCACGCTGGTTACATTACTCGACGCAACAACAACTTCAGTCGGTAGAACTACATGCATTCTGTGATGGCTCCTCCTCGGCATATGCTGCAGCGGTATATTTACGCTTGCACTACAGCAAGAAGGACATTTACACATACCTAGTCGCCGCTAAAAGCAGGGTCACGCCTATCGGCTCACTTACAATCCCTCGAGTGGAGTTATGCGGCGCTGTGCTGGCATTGGGTCTCTCCAATTGGGTTCAGAATACCCTCAAGCCAGTGTATGGAAAACTGCCAGTCTACTTCTGGTCAGACGCAACAATTGTCCTTTATTGGATTTACGGTGATCTCAACAGATGGAAACTATATGTAGCAAATCGTATAAGCAAAATATTGTCGCACAGTACACCTAGTCAATGGAGGCATGTTGGCACTTAAGAAAACCCTGGTGATTGCGCCACGCGCGGTTTATCACCAACACAGTTGAAAGATTTGGAACTCTGGTGGAATGGACCACGGTTGCTAACGCAGCCCAAGTCAACTTGGCCAACTTGCTCAATTAACGCGTTAGATGTCGGTGATACAACACTGGAAGAAAAACCGGCTAAAGTTCATGTTCATGCAGTTGTTGCAATCTCATCGTTTGTACAACGTTTTTCTTCACTTAAGAAACTTCAACGCATCACCGCTTGGATGTTACGATTTTATTATAATCTTCAGCGTAAAATTAACCACGAGGGACCAAAAGGTGGCCCACTGACTCCAAGTGAGTTACAACAAAGTTTGGTTTGTATCGTTCGACTGGTGCAACAAGAAGCTTTTCGAACAGAAATACATTTGATCGAAACCAAACAAGTTGTGCCAAATAGCAGCAAACTCGTCAGCTTAACGCCGTTTCTCGGAGAAAGAAAAGTTCTTCGTGTACGCGGTCGGCTTAAGCATTCTCTTCTCCCTTACGACCAACGACACCCAATGATATTGCCGAGTAACCACCATGTAACGAAGTTAATTATTGACAACGCTCATTTCAATACCCTACACGGTGGTATCCAATTAACACTTTGTACCATCCGAAAACAATTTTGGATCATACATGCGCGCAAAACGGTGCGCAACCATCTTAAAAATTGCATCAAGTGCTTTCGTAATAACCCACAGCCCACTACACAATTAATGGGAGATTTACCCACGCAACGCGTTAACCCTCCTCAACGCGCTTACTACGCAACAGGTGTTGATTACACGGGGGCCATCGAGCTGAAATCGTCAAAACATCGCGGTCATACGGTTTACAAGGGTTATATAGCCATATTCATATGCCTGGCTACGAAGGCGGTGCATATAGAGGCAGTTACTGGCATGACAACGGAGCATTTTTTATGGGCGTTACAGCGTTTCATTGCCCGCCGTGGGATATATCAGGACTTGTATAGCGACTGCGGCACCAATTTTGTTGGAGCTGATAAAATTTTGAAAATTAATCAAAGGCGATTTGTCGAAGAAGTTGAGCGTGATATTGTACCTCAATTAGCCGTACAAAACATAAATTGGCATTTCAGCCCCCCGTACTCTCCAAATTTTGGCGGGCTGTGGGAGGCTAATGTAAAATCCATCAAATATAATCTAAAACGCATTATCGGCGGAACAAGACTAACCTACGAGCAGCTGTCCACAACCCTGGCAAGGATCGAAGCCTGCCTTAATTCAAGGGCCTTGTGCCCGCTGACATCCGACCCCGATGACCTCTTTGTGTTAACTCCGGGGCACTTCTTGGTCGGGGACGCCTTACTTTCACCACCTGAAACCACTCCTGATAGAAAATCCCTTACAGCGCAGTATTTTGATATGCAGCGATTGGTACAACAATTTTGGACCAGATGGTCAGCAGACTGGCTCTCTCATTTGCAAGCACGACCAAAATGGAGGCAGGAGGAGCCAAATCTCTGTGTAAACGAGCTGGTTTTGGTGAAAGATGATAAACTACCCCCCACTCAATGGTTGGTCCAGGATCAGACCAACTTGTACGAGTAGTTACTGTTCGTACCCAACACGGCCTTTATAAGCGTTCGGTAACGAAAATTTGTCGATTGCCAATACCATCTACCAGCGAAGCGAGGGATACTACTCTGCTTAACTAGCACTCTTGCACACACTTAACCTTTTATCTCTTACCTTATTATAGGTGAAACCCACAACCTACATCAAACCAGATCAGAAACGATGTCATAGCAAATCAGAGGCGCTTCGGTTCATAATGCTGGGCTCAGCATTGGGGGCGGCATGTACAATCTGGCAGCCTTATTGTTATTTTGAGTACCAAAGGGAACGGACATTTTCCAAGGAATCTCCCGCTATTCTCTTCACCAATCTCTGGCTTTGCTTGCAGCCGCTGCTGTATATGTAATATATAATATATTCTTATGTCAGTCAGCATCAAACTGTCAAGTAGAGTAGAATTGTCGCGCAAATAAAACTGATGGAATTTAAAATCAAGAACCTCGTTTTACTTTAGTGGAAACTACACACGGACGGAGGAACCACCACGACGAGAGGTGGCAAGGCATGTCACCGGCGACAACCCGATGAGGACCACCACGCAACCGCCAGTCACATCACACCACTCAGCGGCGAACACACAGCGTCGTGGCCTATCCACGAATCAGAGCTTCGACCCCAACAACGTATGCAGGAGATGTGGACAGGAAAGGCACTATGCCAGGCGATGTCGCAATGCACGGAAGTTATTCTGTTGGGAGTGCGGTCGGGCCAATGTCCGTACGAGTGAATGCTGTCGCCGGCGTCAGGGAAACGGCGGAGGGCTCTACCAAGAACACGGCGCGGTGAGCCCACCGAACCCAGCGTCGATACGCCCATAACCATGCGTCAAGACCACGGTCGAGTGTACGCCCTGGTCTACTTGGGTAGGGAGCAAGTCGAGGCCGTCATCGATACCGGCGCCTCGAAGAGTTTCATATCCACCACCCTAGCGGAATATGTGGCAACCGTAGGAAGCGGAGAAAGAATAACGGTAGCCCTCAAAGTACACATGGCCGACGGTACCAGTAGCAACGTTTTCGAGGCCATGAAGATCGAGATTCGTCTCGGACGAGCGATTCACCACGCAGTGATATACATCATGCCAGGTGCAATAGACGTCCTCATGCTCGGCCTGGACACGTTGGGAAGCATGGGAGCTGCAGTATCCTGCGGCGGTCAACACGTCGTACTCACCGAACCGACTACACAGCCGGCACCGCCCATTACGTCACAAACCACGGAGAATAGCACCTCACCCACAGTAAGTAATACCACCCCGCAGGGGGCGGCTACGAGGAAGCACCGACGGAAAGGCCGATCCAGGAGCGAGAGGGTCAACAGAGTAGACCATGACGACCACAGTGGGAGCGTCGATGAGCGCACTTCCGCGGGGATGCCACGCGGTAACCATACAGACGATGCAACACGAATACGCGTCTTCCTAGCGGAAGAACTAGAGAAGTTTGAAACCATGAGCGGAGTGGCCAACGTGGTGGAGCACAGGATCGTCATGACCGACGCCCGCCCCATCAAGCAGCGGTACTTTCCGCGCAACCCAGCGATGCAGGCCATCATCAACGCAGAGATCGACGAGCTTCTCTCCAAAGGGTGCATCGAACCCTCCTGTAGCCCGCATAGCGCGCCCATCGTGTTGGCTCGGAAGAAAAACGGCAAGTGGAAGCTGTGTGTGGATTATCGGCAACTAAATGCCCGATCAGTACCTGACGCATACCCCTTACCCAGAATACAACAGATACTGGACAAGTTACGTAGGGCTAAGTATATCAGAAGCCTAGACCTCAAAAACGGCTACTGGCAGATACCCCTGGGACCGAACAGTCGTCCATACACCGCCTTCACCGTACCGGGGAGCAGACTATTTCAATGGCGCGTCATGCAGTTTGGCTTGCACTCCGCGCCAGCAACATTTCAGAGAGCACTCGACCAGGTCATCGGCCCAGAAATGGAACCCCACGCTTTCGCCTACCTAGACGACATCATCGTCATAGGCTCCATCTTCGAGGAACACGTACAAAACCTACGAGAAGTACTGTCACGACTACAACGCGCGAATCTCCGTATCAACCCCGAGAAGTGCGACTTCTTCAAGAAGGAACTCCGATACTTGGATCATGTGGTCAGTGGCAAGGGAATCCAAGAAATAAAACCACCGTCTAACGTGAAGGAAGTACGCCAGTACCTCGGGATAGCCTCGTTGTACCGTCGCTTCGTGTCCGATTTCGCCACGTTAAGCCAACCACTAACTGCACTCCTGGAAAAGGGTAAGCATTGGAAGTGGGGAGTCGAACAACAAGAGGCTTTCAACACCCTCAAGCGGAAGCTCACCGAGGCCCCCGTACTCGCGTGTCTGGATTTTAACAAGCAATGCACCCTACAGACGGACGCTAGTAACTTTGGCCTGGGAGCGGTACTGACACAAGAGTTAGAAGGAGGCGACCGCGTAATATCTTATGCCAGCAGGAAATTAAACAAAGCGGAGGCCAACTACTCGCCCACAGAGAAGGAGTGTGTTGCCATCGTTTAGGGAATCCAGAAGATGAGGCCCTACCTAGAGGGATACGGATTCAAGGTGATCACCGAACACATGTCGCTGAAGTGGGTGAACTCGATCGAGAGCCTTTCGGGCCGTATAGCGAGGTGGGCCCTAGAATTGCAACAGCATACGTTTGATACAGAATATCGAAAATGGAAGCTCAACCTGGTCGCGGACGCACTTTCACGGCACCCACAGGAGACCCTCCACAAGCGATAACGACGGAACCACGATGCAAGTGGTGGCATAAGCGCTTGGGCGAAGTACGCCAATCCGGAAAAATACGCGGAATATATGGTGCAGGACGGACAACTCTACCGCCATATCCCGTGCCGAAGCCAGGATGAGGAAGCAGTGCCCTGGAAGTTATGCGTACCAACCCACCTTCGCCAGCGGGTGCTACAGGAGAACCACGATGTACCCAGCTCCGGCCACATGGGCATCCGGCGGACAGTGGCGCGGATTGCCAACCGATATTATTGGCCAGGTATGTTTCGAGATATCAGCCGCCACGTACGCCAGTGCGATTTCTGCAAAAAATACAAGGAAGGTCAACAGAAACCAGCGGGCAAAATGCTGTCACAGGTGGTTTCGGAGCCCTTCGCAACGGTCTGCACAGACTTCGTCGGACCCCTACCGCGATCTACACATGGCAACACCAGGATATTGGTATTCTTCGAGCGCTTCAGCAAATGGGTAGAGATAGTCACAATGAGACGTGCCACGGCAGAAGGACTACGCCGTGCATTCAGAGAACGAATCCTAGCGAGATTTGGCGTTCCGAAGATACTCATCCCGGACAACGGCGTCCAGTTCACCAGCACGCTGTGGCAACGCTACCTCCAAGAGATGGGAATACGACAACAGTTTACCGCGCCATACACGCCCCCAGGAGAACCCAACGGAACGCGCTAACCGGACGGTCAAGCGAATCATAGCTCAACTCACCAGATCGCAACACCAGCGATGGGATGACCTCCTCACCGAAATTGAGCTAGCCATAAATACCGGCGTCATCGCCTCTACTGGGTACAGCACAGCTTTTCTCGTCCAAGCCCGTGAGCCACGACTACCTGGAGCGCTCTTTGATGAGATCAACATTGGGACGGGCACTATTCCCCCTACTGCCGAGGAGAAGTCCAGCAGGATGCAGGAGGCATTCAGGATTGTCCGGCAAAACATGGAGAGAGCGGCGAAGGACCAGGCCCGCCTCTACAACCTCAGACAGCGAAAATGGTTTCCTAGGGTTGGCGAACTAGTCCTCGTCAAGGAACACCATCTATCTAAGGCTGCGGACGGATTCGCAGCGAAATTGGACCCAAATATTGCGGTCGTTACAAAATCCTGAGATACATATCACCTGTGATCGTCCAGTTATGCAAGACCGATGGAGGGAGAGAAAAAACGGCCAGTATCGCGGAACTAAAAGCATATCATACCAGCGAGGCCATACAAGAACAAGGAGACTATTAAGAAAAGAAAAAAAAGGGGAAAGACCAAGTGAATAATTGAATTAATTAACCAATGTTAAATTTATACGTCACTCCAACCAACCATTCAACCGCGCACATCCACCCAGGAGCCAAGGGAGTTCCAGACCACCAAGTAGAGGGGGAGTGTGAGGACTAAATGTCCCCAGGGAATTAAGCCCACACAAACTTACGCACCAACAACCAAACCAGTCAACCCAAAGCAACACAAGTCAGCGCAACTGGCCACGCAGCAAACCACGGCAACACAAGTCATAGCAACACTCGACAACCTCTTCGCTGCCATAGCAACGCAACATCACACAGCAACATCAAGCACATAGCCTAGTAAAGAAGTAGCGCGACAAGAAACGAGGCAGTCAGCACGAGACTGTGGTCGTCAACATACGGCTACTGGCAAGAACTGACTTCTTCCGCACCGGCTCGAGCGTCGGGCCTGATTCCACTTCTGCAACAGCTGCTGGTAGGGTGATTTCTTCTGCACCGGCTTGAGCGTCGGGCTGGACGTCACCTTCCCAGTGGCAGCGCCATAAGCTACACACGCTCTCACCACAGCCTCTCGTGGAACCACGTACGGGCGACATCCGCACGCCCGTAGTCAGCACCGCCGTTAGCAGATGGACATCGACAGCGCCTACAAGAGCGCTTCTCACCGCCGTCAGCAGAGCGGCGTCAACAGCGCCACTAGAGCGACTCTCCGTCGCGAACAGAGCGCCACTTATCAACGTCGCCAGAGCGCCGCCCAACGGCGCGAGTAGAACGATACTCTCCAGCGTCATTAGCGCGATACTCTCCGGCGCGAATAGAGCGCCACTTGTCAACGCCGCAGAGGGCAGCCCAGCGGCGCGAGTAAAATATTACTCCCGGCGTCACCGGAGCACCACACATCGGCGTGGCCAGAGCGCTACCCTCCGCATTACAAGAGCGCCACCTACCGGCGTCACCAGAGT